TGTCTGTCACCTCTCTCTCTAGCTCTATCTTCTGTCTTCTCTCTCTCTCTCTCTCTCTCAAAATCTATATCTATCTATCTGTCTGTCTATCTATCTATCTATCTATCTATCTATCTATCTATCTATCTATCTATCTATCTATCTATCTATCTATCTATCTATCTATCTATCCATCTATCACCTCTCTCTCTAGCTCTATCTTTTGCCTTCTCTCTCTGTCTCTCTGTCTCTCTGTCTCTCTCTCTCTCTCTCTCTCTCAAAATCTATCTGTCTGTCTCTGTCTGTCTGTCTGTCTGTCTGTCTGTCTGTCTGTCTGTCTGTCTGTCTCGGTCTTCTGTCTTCTATCTTCTATCTTCTATCTCTACTTATACGTTATCTAGCTGTCTTATCACTCTGTCTCTGCCTCTATCTCTCTATTTCCTATCTCTATCTATCACTTATCTATCTTTATCTCTCTATCTCTATCCCACTTCTCTATCTGTATGTCTCATATATAATCCCACACAACTGATTAACAACGTAAAAAATACCCAGTGAGCCCGGCCAGTTATTCTCTTCTACCCAGTGAAATATTTCAGAACAGAATAAAGAAAATATAAAGAGATCCCACCCCCTCATGAGGAGGACTCTGTAATATGTATTTACGCTAAAAGTTGTTTTGACACTGCTGAGATGATGATGGCTTACCACTCACACCGAGAAGAGCTTCACTGTCACAGCGCAGTCCAAAGCACGCAGGCTTGAATGTCGGTTGTACTGTGTTCGGTAGGATTTCCTCCTAGGAAAATGCACATTTGATTTCCGCCGTAAATACAAAGGAGGCCAATGGGGAATTACAGGGGTGGAGGATGCTGGAGGGCAGGTGATTGGGGAAGAAGGTCACCTGGCTACGTCTTCCTTGGTGTGATTTTTATAGAGTTGCTGTGCAACTCCAGAGAAGGCTGTCTTCTACCTTCCCACTGTTCCAGCCTCACACAGGCAAGGAACGTGGTTGAGAGAGTAGCTCAAGGACGGAAAGGTGTAAAACATTTGGAATGCTAAAGCTTTCACGTTCCAAACCAGCTGTGCCAGTCTCATGGGAAGCGTCCCAACATTGTTTGGGCTTTTCCAGGAGTACTTATTTATTTATTTATTTATTTATATTTATATCCCGCCCTTCTCCTTGCGGACTCAGGGCGGCTAACAACCAGATAAAAATACAAAATATCAAAACTACAGATTAAAACTTAATTAAAAGGCAAATATTAATAATTGGTCTAAGAAATTTAAAATTATTTCAAAACCCCCTCTAAAAATTTTCCCCTAGGCCAGTCCCGCAAGCTGGAATAACCATGTCTTAAGGGCGCGGCGGAAGGAAGGGAGATCAGGGATCACCCTGATCTCTGGGGGTAGTTCATTCCAGAGGATGGGAGCTCCCACAGAGAAGGCCCTCCCTCTTAGGGTCGCCAGCCGGCACTGTCTGGCCGACGGTACCCTGAGGAGACCCACTCTGTGGGAGCGTACAGGTCGATGGGGGGTAATCTGCGGCAGGAGGCGGTCTCGAAGATATCCAGGTCCGATGCCATGGAGCGCTTTAAAGATGATGGTCAGCATCTTGAAGCGCACC